CTCATCAATCATGTGTATCATCATGAAATAATTGCAGGGTTGTGACAAAATGGCACATCAGCCCTTCCTAGTTCATCGTGGATAGAACACAATGGTTTAAAAAATAGCAAGTGAATCATTGGCAGAAATCAAACAGTAATTAATTCAATTCTCACTATTATTCATTCAGGTTTTCGGTGATCATCTTTACATAAAATTCTGCAAAATGGGGTTAGTTTTAGGAAAAAAAACTAGTTTTATTTGTTTTTGAAATATTGTGAAAAGTATGTGGTTTACTATGTGGTGCTAGAGCACCTAACACCACAGAGCAGGAGGATAAAGGGTTTTGAACAGGTCACAGCTTCTTTTTTTTGGTTTGGAATGCTAAGTAGTCTGGGAAAATCCAAAGGGACAGGGCGAAAATATAATTAAATATCTTTAAAAGAATGAAAAACCACTTTTAAACCCTTGAACTGACCTACATGAAGTGAAAGATACACATTGTTGAGTATTATCATGATATTTCAAGTATGTTGGTTGAATGAAGCCATTAAGGATTGTCAGACAACAAGCAATGAATGACCCAATCATTAGGGTATTCCTGACACATTATCAAGATCACAATTCATGCTGAAATATGCATTAAATCCTCCTACTCTGCTTGTAGAGTTTTGTGAAACTATAAACAAATTCTACAATACTGTCACATTTTATTTACTAATTTACAAATGTATACAATGAACACAGGGCAAACTTTTAAACATTAAAATAACAATATGTCAAAGCACTTGCAATAAACAAAGCAAGTTACCTCATACTATACTCATGCCATATCAGCAGTTGATAAATAAAATCACTTGAAATTAACAACAAAAAATTGTTGGTTTAGAATGGATGTAAAATGTGTCTCAGAATTTTAGGCACAGCAGGAACAATTCATTTTGGCTTGTGTTTTATTGTGATTTTTGAACATTCTTTTATTGCATCCTTAATACAACTTGTGCTGTAATTTCTATTGCTTTGAGTGCATTTTAAGGCCACAGTATGTTGCATTAAAATTAAAAAGCTTTCAGAGGTTGCAAGGTCTTAAAATACTCTGTGACTGGTGATTAAATTGCTTGAAACTTTAATTTTCAAAGCTTGAAAGAAGAATTATATAGTAAGAATTTGCTGCTTTACAGAAGTGAAGATTGTTGTGCTAAATTCCACTTCATTACATCAATTTCTATGTTGCAGCTTTCATGAGTAATATTGACTGAAATGGCATCTTAAATGAATGTACTATTGCCAAGTTTTTGCATGACACAAAAATTGTTGGGAAGGTATAATGTAATCAAGCAGAGTCAGCACTGGCTTCACAAAGGGGAAATCATGCCTGACAAATTTGTTAGAATTCTTTGGAGAAGTAACAAGCAGCATGGATAAAAAAAAGAACCAGAAGGTGTAATATATTTGGATTTACAAAGAACATTGAATAAGGTACCGCACAGGAGGCTGTTTAATAAGGTAAGAGTCCATGGTGTTGGGAGTAGGATATTAGCATGGATAGAGACTTGGCTAAATAAAAGGAGACAGAGAACTGAAATAAAAATAAGCAGTATCTACTGGAGGATCACAGGGATCAGTGCTGAGTTCACAATTATTTACAATAAATTAATGAGGGAAGTGAATGTACTATCACCAAGTTTGCAGATGATACAAAAATAGGTAGAAGACAATTGGTGAGGATGACACAATGAGTCTACAGAGGGATATCAACAGGTCAAGAGAATTGGTGAAAGCTTGGCAGATAAAATATAATATGGAAATACATGCAACTATGCATTTTGGCAGGCAAAACAGAGGAGTGAAAATGATTAATATGGGAAAAACTGCTGAAAGCTTCAGTACAGAGAGATTTCAGGATCTTAGTGCACAAATCACAAAAAGCTAGATTGAAGCTCAGTTGGTAGTAGGGAAAGCAAATAGAATGTTAACATTTATTTCAAATGGAATGGAGTGTAAAAATAGAGTGGTTGTGCCAAAATTAAACAAAGCAACAGACTGCACTGGTTATACTGTGAACAGTTTTGATCTCCTTGTATAAGGAGGGACATACTGACATTGGAGGAAGTCAAGAAAAAGTTCATTTGTTTGATTTCAGTATGGAGGGATTTTCTTAGGAATGAAAGGAGATCTCATTGAAATGTGTAAGGATAGATGCAGAAATGTTGATTTCCCTTGTGGAAGAGTGTAGGACCAGAGGGCATAATCTTAGAATAAAGCATTGCACATTTTAGATGAGATGAGGATGATTGTGAATTTGTGGAACTCCTCACCACAGACGGCAGTTGAGGTTGGGTCATTAGTATATTCAAAGTGAAATAGACAGATGTTAAATTGGTAGAGGAATCAAGGGTTATAGGGTAAGAAAGGAAATTGGAATTGAGGAGTACCAGATCAGCCCACAATCCCATTGAGTAGCAGAGGAGATGATGGGCTGAATGACCTACTTCTGCTCCTACATCTTATGGTCTTATGGGACATATCTTGGCAGTAACTTGCATCTACTTGGCCTCATAGATCTTTTTGCCTTTGATGGTCAACTTTTTCAATGTCATTTAATGGGCATGGGTTGTCTATTTTTCCTTCCAAGCACAGCACATTACACTGTACAAGAGAATTGTGACAAGGAAATTACAGCTGCCATATAAACCAACTGTGATCCTACCATAAGTATTGTAGCAAATACTTAAGGCACATCTCATTCTGAACAGCTCACTTATTACTTTTATCTTTTATCATCATAGATTGTGCTAAATGGTTACTGCCTGTAACTTCTTCTTCTGATGAGCACACAATTCTAGTGTAGGTATTGGGTCAGAAATCATAGGTCCCTGTATTGCTCCTGGCCCAGGCCCCTGAAACAATCACATTGGTCTTGCCTCTAAACCCCACCTGAGCACAGCAGGTCTCTTCGAGTCCCCACCCCAATTATTGAGCCTGGATACAACCACCCTCCTCCTCACCCTCAGCCGAGGCCATGTTCTGGTGGCTGATAGAAAATAAGAAACGGATCAACAGATTAAGTCTATCTACCCTTGAACCCTCCATAAACTGGAAATTCACCAAAACTCTGTTGCAAATATCCTAACCTAAATAAATTCCAATTCTTGCATCATCCTTGTGCTCTTTGAGATACATTGGCTCTTATCCAGCAACACTGCAATTTCAAAATGCTCGTACTTGTTTTCAAATCCATCCAGTCTTGCCTGTTCCTGGTTCTGAACTCCTCCAACCATACACTTCAAAGATCTGGGCTGCTCCAATTTTGACAACTTGCACATCCTCAATTTTAGTCACTGGAGTCCATGCTTTCAACAATCTAGGCCCTAAATGCTGGTGTTCTCTCCATAACACTCTCCATTTCATCCTTTACAAATGCTCCTCAATCCTCCCCTTTTCAACAGTCTATTACTTCATTTTAATGGCAGGTGTCAAATTTTACTTGTTAACACTCCTGTGCCCTGGGACAACTTACTATTGTTTTTTTTATTCATTCATGGGCTGAAGGCGTTGCTGGCTAGGCAGCATTTATTGCCCATCCCTAATTGCCCAGAGGCAGTTGAGAGTCAACCACATTGCTGTGGGTCTGGAGTCACATGTAGACCAGACTAGGTAAGGATGGCAGTTTCCTTCCCTAAAGGACATTAGTGAACCAGATGGGTTTTTCCCGACAATCGGCAATGGGCAATGGATTCATGGTCATCTTTAGATCCTTAATTCCAGATATTTTATTGAATTCAAATTCCACCATCTGCTGTGGCAGGATTTGAACCTGGGTCCCCAGAATGTTATCTGAGTCTCTGGACTAACAGTCCAGCAATAGTACCACTAGGCCATTGCCTCCCTGCACAATAACTGTACAATATAAATGAGATTGGTTGTTAATTCAGAATTTTTAAAAAAATGTTATCAATTCTCTTTCTCTGCCATGGTCTTTCTTTTGCAGCAGCTCTGGAATATCATAAATCAATTTTTAAAACTAAAAATCTAATGCTATAGTTGCCATGATGTACTGAGATATTTTCAAAAAACACCAGTTCTATAAATGTATGGAATAAATAATTCATTTAAACAAAACAGAAATCCAGAAGCATATGTGGTCCTTTGCTGCATCTGGGCTTGTGCATATCACATGCTAAATAATAATCATTCCAATGTCATTCACTCACACATTCATCAATTATTCAGTACAAATTTACCAAGTGTATCAATGTAAAATTATCTTGCAATTTAAGTTTGTTTTATAGCTCTTCTGAACTCTGCTTTCAAGGCATTCACATGCCAAAGAATTATTTGTTGCAAATAATGTAAGGCAAAAGTTTAATCGAAGGTCATTCAACCGAAACAGAATTTTAAGTTCAGTGTTGCATTCAGATTGCAAAAAACAAAGGTTGTATTGTATGTCTTTAAACTTATTATCTGAAACACTCTCACGCTGCTACAAAGAATTCATGCTCCAAGCTTTTGTGTCATATTTTCATGATACAATCAGCACAGTATCACTTCAGTTCATTACTTACAAAAAAAGTTACTTCAAAATTTGAAAAATGTATAATGTATCTTTTTTTGAGTTTCGGCTCTGGCGCTGCTAATTAGCTCATGCATTCTTCATACCTTTAGCATAGATTTTTGTCCTAACTTTTTCCCGCTTTCTGTTGTTTTTTAATTATTGTTCTAGAAATAGTGAAAAGCTAAACAATTGTTCAGTTAATGAGAAATGTTATCGCATATTAACGAAGGTTTACACCATAGATTGGGGGAAATTCACTTTAAAAGTTACAAATGTTTTATTGTGGATTCATTATTTTGTACAGTGGATCCCTCGCAGTAATTTCCATTTAAAAAAAACAGAGCTGTTTATATTAGCAGCTCCAGTACTTCAGATCGTCCACTTGGGTTGCCATCACTTGACTTTATGTGGGTTGGGTAGCTGTTTTTCATTGTTGCTAAATTTCTGTTGAGAAATTGTTTGCGCTTTTTTTTAAGTGCTAACACTGACATGGGTTGCGGTTGGAATGGCAGCCCCACCCTTTAAGTAATTGTGTTAAGTGTGTACAGTAGGTAGCAACTTACAGTCAGTGAAAACAAGAAATCTGGCCAGTGGAAGGAAACATTAGCAGTTTGACACTTGAGTTACCTATTCTTGCTGGGTCTGACTGCAATTGGATCTATCCTGTGAAGACGCCGAACTACTTAACAGGCAAGTTTTACCTCCTTTTACTGCAGACTAAACCATACATTGTTCATCTGGAGAAAGACACCCCGACTTGCAGAATTAAGGACACTATTGCGGCATTTTTTTTTTATAAAACCAAAAGAAAGTGAGAACGTTCCGGAAGTCATGGAATTTTCAAAAAAAATCTAGTTCATAAGTAAGAGGACAGATTGATTTTAATATATGCTACTTTAGTAAAACTGAGGAAAAATTGCTTTCGTTTTCAGAAATGATTCTCTTTTTTGGGAACAGTACTGTCATTCGGAAGACTTTTTGAGCGTCCAACAAGTTTAAGAAGCGTGACCAGTTCACATTCCTAAATATCCAAGTTGCATACTCTTTTTGCATATACTGCACGAATCACTTTCGATCATTTGAATGACAGGAGAACTATGTTGTTACACAGTTTAACCTTGCTTTGTCGGTAATTGAGATTTTAAAGCAGTTTTCTGATTGTCAGTGGCACTTGATAATGGTTGCGGTCGGAATGACAACAAAAGCATGGGAATTGGGTGCCTTTCTTTTAAGAATGACAATAGGGTTGCACGGCATCCTGAGTGAAACGTAGGAAATAGGGTATCAGGAGTGTGGTCGTTGGTTTGCTTGCCGAGCTGACTGGTTATGGTACAGATGTTTCATCACCATGCTAGGTAATATCATCAGTGCAACCTCCGATGAAGCGATGTTGTTCTACTCAGCTTGGTGTTTACATGATCCGGTCTGTTAAGTTGGGTTGTGTCATTTTCGGTTCTGATCTGTATGGGTTTGCATGGGTTTGTATCTGGGGTCTAATTCCACATGTTTGTTGATTGGATTATTGGCTGAAAACTAGGCCTTGCGGATGGTCATCCTAACTCAAGCGAACCACAGACACGCACGGGAATTCCGAGAGGCCTGGTTTTCAACCCGTAATGCAATCAACAAACACATGGAATTAGATCCCATATACAGACTCATGCAGATCAGAACCGGAAATGACACAACCCAACTTAACAAACCGGATCATGTAAATACCAAGCTGAGTAGAATAACATTGCTTCATCGGAGGCTGCACTGATGATGTCACCTAGCATGGTGACGAAATGTCTGTACCATAACCAGCCAGCTGGATAAGCAAACCAACAACCTCATCCGCAACCCAAGCTACAGATCATCGCAAGAACCTTAAATTAGGAGTGTCTTCAAAACTCTGTTACTTAATAATGGACTATTAGCACCAATTGAGTTAGCATGGAAGGAAAAGCGGAAAAAAAATCAAGCTGTGGTGACTTATACTGACATTCTCATAACTAAATAGCATCAATTAATGCCAGTAAAGGACTCGACATTAACACAGCACCAATCGGCAATGTCTTCTGTAGCGTCCAATACATGATCTTTACTACCCCATATGTTCTAAACTTCAGTTAATGTTATTGCTTCATTGAGAAGCACAATAGCTACTATAATGGAGGGTTGTTATGTGTAGTGGTAACTATTCAGGTATGAGGCCCAGGTTCAAGTGCTACCTGTTTCAGAGATGCATCATAACATCTCTGAACAAGTTCATTAAAAATACTCAATTTATAGCTACGATATTAGGCAAGCCCCGCCTGCTCCTGATGTGTGTAAAGACATCTCTGAACAAGTTGATTAGAAATATCTAGCTAAAATATTAGGGGCTCTTGTAGTGCAGTGTAGCAGTGTAGTGGTTCCTTTGGACTAGGAGACCTAGGTTCAAGTCCAACTTGTTCCAGAGATATATTAGAAAATATCTAAAACTGCAATACCTGTTGTCATGATTTATTGAAGGAGCTGCAGAGTACTTACACAAACTATATCCAACTGAAGACTAGACCTTTTGGCTGGCCACAGCTTAGTTTCTCTAGGAAGATGTCTACTGATCTCTGTCATTTACTGAGACTAAGGGCAGCAAATTTGATTGGCAATTGTCTCCTTGCGGTTGCCAAGGTAGCAACATATCTCAGCTTCTACATCATGGGTAGCTTTCAGGTCCAAGTATTATTCATTTCTATACATATGGTATGATGCAAATAGGTGAGATTTTATATGTTATTTTGTATGTCTGCTTCCCAAGTCAGATCCATAATTCATGCCTTCTCCACAATTCCCACTTTACTGAAGTCATCAAAGCTTGGAGAAAAATCTTGTTGATTACTTGGTAATGCTGATGTCTCACTCCAGAGTTTCATGATGTGTTTGCATATTTGACAGAACAGATTATAAATTTCAATGTTGCCTATAACTAGACCAGAGTGTTAAGTACTGAGATAGCTCTTCATTCTCAAACTACTTTGATTCTGACCCCATCCATTTAGCTCAGACTGAGCCAGGCTGTTTGTACTATAAGGTACCTTAAGCTGGACTGAGCTCAGGTTCTGTCATCACATCGCCTGTATTCTGACTTTGCAAAATCACCTCCCCCGGTTCTATCTCATTCCATTTACTGCAGAAACTCTCATCCTTGTCCTTTTCCCTCTCCGGGTTTAGTTCTCCTGCTGTCAAGCTGGACATTTTACCTTTCACCAAAACTTCAGCTAATCCAAATCATTGCTGCCTTTGTATCATCGCACTCAAGTCCTGTTCATTCATAACAAACAAAAAGGAACTGCAAATGCTGGAAATCAGAAACAAAAACAGAAACTGCAGGAAAAACTCAGCAGACAGGTCTGGCAGCTCCCTTGGAGAGAAAGCAGAGGTAACAGTGTGGGTCCAGTAATCCTTTTTCAGAACTGATTATAGCTAGGGAAAGGTTAGGGGATAGGGGAGAGGAGCAAACGATGGATGGAGATGGAGCCCAAAAAGAGAGAAAAACAATTGGGCAGACAAAGGAATGGGTAATGATCAACCTGGGAGAATGACTAGCTCCAAATGGGGGGGCCATTCGCAGCTGACAATAGGTTGTTTGTGGTAACAGGCCATCTAATGACAAGGCCTGGTCTGTGGTGGTTCAACAAATTTAGGGCTTGAGCACCTTCTCCCATGTCCTTACCCAAACCTCTTTACTCTGCATAAAAACCAACTTTTTCCCAACTATAATCAGTTCTGAAGTATTACTGGACCCAAAATGTTAACTCTGTTTTCTATCCACAGATACTGCCGGACCTGCCAGCTGAGATTTTCCAGCAATTTCTGTCTTTGTTCTTGTTCGTTCATATTCTCACTGATCAACATTAGCTCCTGACCTAACAATTTTAAAATATTCAGATTCATGAAATCCATCACGGCCTCTCCTCACCTTATCTCTGTCACACCCATCACTTGTTGAATGTGGCCTAGTACATACTGATTTCTCCATTAGCCTACCATTAGCAACAATCCATCTGCAACTTCGGACTATTCTGTGCAATATTCTCTACTACTTTTCACTTCTATCCCCTCTTTAAGATTGTTTTAAAACTTACCATTTTAGACCAAGTATTTGCTCTCCTCCTATTATCTTCTCCATTGACTCAGTGTCCATTGTCAGTTATGTCTCTGGAGAACTCCTCGGTGTTTTATTTTACATTCATAGTGTTATGTAAATACATTATAATTTAGTGATTATTTATTTAAGCTCCTGAAAAAAAGGGGCAGAATAAATATCATCTGTCAAAAAGCCATAACATAAGTTATAATACTCGAGCAGCTAAGAGTGGAAGAACTTGCATTTGTACCATACCTTTCTTGATGCTGAGGCACCCCAAATCACCTCAAAGTAAATTAAGCACTTTTCTAGTCATTACAGAACTGCAACAGCCAATTTGTGTTAAACAGTGAAGAGATCAATGACCGGATAACCATTTCTGGTGGCATTGAGGGATAAGTGTTGGTCAAAGCATCAGGAGAACTGGTCCAAGAGGGCAGTCAAGGCCTTAGTTTAACATCTGAATTTAAAGGTTTATCCTACATTGAAGTCTCAGGATTAATTATGTACTCGTGTTTTTGGTAACGGTCTTGAAATCATGACTATCTTCAGAGAATTTAATCCCTAAGCAATGTATAGCTTGGAAGATATGAAAAAGCCTTGCAACCTCTTCAGCTGATGTGTACTAGTTTTAATATCTGCAAATTACAGCACCTAAAGGTTTCTTAAATACATCACATGCTCTGGCATCAGCTGTCCAAGCACTCTGTTTCAGCTACTAAGCAAGGTCAATTTAAGGAAATACTTGTTGAATTCTGTCCTAAATCTACCTATTACAGTGTCTGAATTTCTTGGTTGACAGCTCAAATTTGAGAATATTCATTTGGTTTACTTTTCACACTTCATTGAGAATAATGTTTCTTTAGGATTCCCTCTGAAATATCACTTCATGAGTCTGAAGGACTGTAGCTAGTTAATCAATTCTCAAAGCTCCTCCATCTGTTAGTGGGATCAATCTCAATGTTGTCTTCTTCACTGCGCGAGAACCTGGACTATGATCTGATGTGTATTCAGAATTGTAATACTTCCACTGTTGTCTGACCAGCACACTATATCATTTTCAGCTTGACTTTTAGGAATTTAAGCTTAACCATAGTATAACACTACATTCCTACTTACAGTGCCATTGCTGTTCACCTTGTTTTCTAGTTATGAATAACAAGTCAACTAACATGAGCAAAAACAAATTTGCTGGAAAAACTCAGTAGGTCTGGCAGCATCTGTGAAGGATAAAACAGAGTTAACGTTTGGGTCTGGTGACCCTTCCTCAGAACTGATGGCGGCTGGGAAAACGTCAGTTTATATGCAGAAAATAGGGAGGTGGGTGGGGTAGGGAGTAAATGATAAGATAGAGCCCAAAGAGAGAGAAAGACAGTTGGACAGACAAAGGAGTTGCTAACAATCAGGCTGGGAGGGTGAGTAGTTGTTAATGGGGACTGTTAGTGACTAACATCAGGGTGTGTGTGTAATGGCAGGCTATCTGGTAACACACACCCCCTGTTGTTAGTCACTAACAGACCCCATTAACAACTATTCACCCTCCCAGCCTGATCATTAGTAACTCCTTTGTCTGTCCAAC